TTAATTTTTTTTCTGGATAGCGGACGACCTTCTTTTTTTTTTTTTTTTGAGACATGATTTTTAATTTTGGTTGCACATTAATGCTATAACGGCAAATCTTAATCCTGAACTTACCCTATTTTTAGACACAAGTCCCTAAACTATATTTTAGACTTATAGGCGCTTTAATTACAGTATTTAGAGTATATTTGGATTAACTTGTAAAATTTTTTTTTTTTATATTGTTCATGAGTGATAAGTTTAAATTTTTATTAAAAAAATAAAAGTTATTTTTCGAAATAAAAAAAAAAAGAGTAAAAATAGAGTAAAAAGGAAGTAAAAAAAGAGTATAAAAAATTTAAATTTAAAATTTTTAAACTTTTACTATTTGAAATTTTTTTAAAATTAAAAAAAATTTTAAAAATATAAATTTTTTTAAAAAAATTTATTAATAAAATATAAATAATATCAAAAAACTAAAATACTTGAAAGCTGAATCAAACATACTTTACTTTTAATCATGTGGGAAATCCTCCATCGACGGTTCCGCTTGTTCCGGTAAAATATCTATTCATGGCAGTGAAAGAAAATGGTTAAATTGTAGTTTAGTCCATATACTTTCAAATGTCAATGAAAATCAGTTCTTTCCCTTTTAACTAGATTTACATTAAAAAAATAAAACGAAAAGTAAAAAGAAAAAATAATCCCATGACAGAAAAAAATACTAATTCTCAACATGGTTTCCGTGTCTCAAGTGTCAATAAATCTGTTCATATTTCCAACACATCCCAAAATCGACTTTTATTTTCCAAAAAAATGGCTAAAGGCGAAATAAATTTTTATTATTCAACTTGTTCTTTCTGAAAAAATTTTTAGATCGCAGTATATAATCAATAACAGCTCTTGGAATGTAACCAATGGGATTACTTTTCTCTAATGAAATATTAATAAATTGTAAAATGAATGGAATTTGGGATTTAATTATTAAATATATGAATAATTGATAGTTAAAGTTATGTTTCAAAAGCACATTGTCTATATATATATATATGTATGTATGTATATGGAGGTAGGAAGCTAAGCACAACTAACTTCTTTGTCTTTTTCTTTTTTTTTTCATAAATTTTTTGTAATTATGAAATCTTTAAAATTTTGAATGGAAGTATATCTAAAAGTTTATTGTTATCTAATTTGTGAATAGATTTCATTTCAGTTTTACAAGCTCTTCCTCTCCCAATTGGATCAATATAGAATCCTATTTCCTTACTCCTTAGTATTAGAGAGGACAACAATATTGAAAATATATATCTTGACCTTTTTGCCTCTTTTAAGAGCATGTATAGTAGAGAACAATTGAAAATTTTATTTTAATACCACATCACCACTATTAATATTATTTTATATAAATTTATATATTTTATGTATTTAACTCTTAAATAAAATATTTAATAAAACACTTTTCTTCTAATATGTAGAATTTTTTTTAAAATTCACGTTAATAATATTTTATTTAACATATATTTTTATATTCAAATAAAACAAATTTAAAATAAAAATTAAAAAAGAGAGAGAGAGAGAGACCACCAGAAATGTCGGATCCAACGACAAATAGCCGTTGGATCGAAACTTTGGCTGCGGCGCCAATCAAAAGCTCCAGCCCTTATTATTTTTTGAGATTTTCTAATTAACCCTTTCCTTTACAATAGAGAGTAACTCTCATTAATTATAATATT